CAGCTTTCATAGAATAAAGAATGGTCATGAATGGTCATGGTAACATTAGGTATGTGTGATTTTAGAATAAATACAATTTACCAGGTACGGTGATGGGGAGAGAAGATGTTTTTCATGAACATTAGTGCCAAGACTTCACTGATACAAATTTCTAAAAGGTATTTTACTCATATTGCTGATGTCTCATAGTTTTAAGTTGTTAATATCTTTGTTTTTAGCAGTAGAAAATCAGAAATACATATAAAAGTTAAATGATTACCTCTGTTGTGGAAAGCCCAGGTCTTGAAGGATGAGTAGGTCTCAAGAATCAAGACTCTATTGTCTATATTATTTTACTTTTTTTCCCTGGGTAAAGTAATGTGAGTAGGAGCAGAGATGAAAATGCTTTTCCTATCATCTTGTATCTTGTAGGAGACAGACCAGAAGCGAACAGAATTCTCAGTTTTAACAAAAGATTTCTTGTGTGCCAAAGAAGAAATTACAGGTCATCAGTTTATTACTCTTAATTCAAAGGATGAGACTGGGCGAAGACTTGACACATATAAGAAGGACACCGAGAAATTCTTGAGAAAGGAAGTATTTAGGTAAAATGAAGAGTAAGGATAAATAATGGATGGAGAGACCACCAAGAAAATAATTTTATCAGCTATAAGAAGTTAGGCACTCATATTTATAATCCTAGCTGCTCAGAAGGCTTGTGACCAGAGGAAAGAAGTTTGAAGCCACTCCAGGCAGAGAAATCTGAGAGGTTTTTATCCCAAATTAACAGAAAAATACTTCACTGTAGAATTAGTTCAAGTGGGAGAGTTCTAGTCATGAGTGAAAAAACCCACTGAAAAGATAAGTCCCTTAGTTCAAGCCCCAGATCTAGTGTGTATCTGGGTATGCATGCCTGTGTATGCACAAGCACATGTGTGTGTACACACACGCACATACACACAAAACCACACACACACAAAACTAGACATAGAGGTAGTACTGAGACATGATATTGTAGTAAACTATTTTATACAAAAATCCTTCAGAAGCATTCTAGTAGTAGGTCATATTTAGCTGATGGTAAGAATATTATTTATTTTTGTGAGTATCATTGTCCTGTTATTTCATTATTCAAAACATTTCTTCTATCAGTTTTAGAATAATTCATACACTTTAAAAATACTTGCTTTAAGTAACTACCTTTTTGGTTTTGTTTTTAGTCAGAAGCAGAGAGAATTCTGGCACTTGTTTAAATTTAACAGTCACCTTCAAAATACCTGCATATAACTTGGCTTCAAATGAGGTGGCAAAATTTTTCTGTCTCTGGAATTTTAGTCTACAAGCATTTCTTTTTCTTAAGTACAAATTGTGTCAAACCTAAATAAAGAACTCAGTGAACTAAACTATCATTTTAGTCCAAATGAAAATGATACTGGTTCCATTTATCTTGTAAAATATTTCTCTTCATACTTCTTTTAATTTTGATATATGAAATACTGTATATGTATCTGGCCATTAAAATGAAGCAAAAACATTTTGAGGGAAGGACTATCTTTTAAATTTTTCCTAGAACATACTTTGATGTTGAGAATAAGTACTCAATAAATCTTTGGAATGGATACTTGTGAAGAACAAGTTATTTATAATATGTTATACTGTAGAAGACCTAAAAATCATTACAAAACATTGTAAAAAAAATTCTTAGTGTTATTTTTAGGTAATAACAACAACAGTCAAATCCCTAAGGCAATGCTTTATGTAAAACTATTTGTTTCTCTGTCTTTTTGACATGATCTCTTTATGGTATTTCTTATAGGTGAGTCTCTAAACATTGTAATCTTTGGGTTCTGAATAATTCTTTCCCTCAGGAAACAGATATCTTAAAAGGAATCAGTTCCATTTGTTTAATAGAAGGCAGAGAAAAACAGGATTTAGCAGCTGTATCTAGGCAAAATTTGAACAGGACTAAGATTACCTTTTGCTGAGATTATGCTCTTTTTTTCAGGGATTAAATCATTTTTCTGATTTATTTTAACATTTCATGAACATTATAATGCAGATATACATTTAAATAGATTAAAACATCATTTCTTGATGCCACGTATAAAAATTTCTACATTTTTTAGAAGCTCTTCTATCGTTTTTTGTTGTTGTTTTTGTGTTCAACTACAAGTGGATGTATAAACATCTGTGGGAATAGAGGGTGTAATGCATAAGTATTATATTCCTCTATGTGTGCCATTGAATGAATTTAAATAAAAGGCAAATTCTGACATCTTTTGAGATGCAATTGAAACCAAGAACATATGATAAATAGTCAAAGTATTGAAAAAGCTATTTAATCTCATGAAATCTAGAGTGCAAAGGATTTAAAGAAGAAATCACTTCTACAATGCTACTTGCTTGTACTTTCTGTACCAATGAACCTTATTAATTAGAGATTCTTGTTAGCTGAGAGTAGAGGAGACAAATTATAGGGTTAATATACCTATCCTTCCTGTTGTTCTTGTGTTATTGTTGGTCATGAAATGGTCTGGGTGCTCTCCCTGAGCATTTTTCTCTATGTAAGTGCTCTAACACTTTGAGCCACAGCCCACTTCTGCTTTTCTGGTAGTTAACTGGAGAAGAGTCTCACTGAGTTTCTTGCCCTGGGTGGCTTCAAACCAAGATGCTCAGATCTTAGCTTCCTGAGGAGCTAGGCTTATAGGCGTGAGACTGAAAAGTGAAAAAAGAGGGAAGTATTTAAAGAATCAACTTAATTAAAGGAAAGGAAAAGAAGTAGAAAGGATACAGTGAAAAATTTTCTCCCACATTTAATTGGAAGAGTCTAATGATGACAATCTGATTTAAAAAAATAACTGATTAAAAATGCATATCAATAATATATAGTACATATAAGGAAGATTTAAGAGGCACCAAATTAGGATATAAAAAAGTGTTCATTTTTTTTAAACCAATAAGAGAAAGATTGAGAAACTTTGCAAAATATGAGAATTGAGGGAATGGCAATTGTTTGTATTTTATAATTAAAAAATATTGAGAAAGACAATAGTAATAGACCAAGTTGTGAACTGGTTGTTTACCTCGTTTCTAGTTATATAGCTTTAAGGGACACAGCACCACTTCTGGTTTTCTAGTAGTTTATTGGAGATAAGAGTTTCTCGGACTTTTCTGCAGTGGCTGGCTTTGAACTGTGATCCTCAGATCTCAGCCTCCTCAGTAGCTAGCTAGGATCACAGGCGTGAGCCACCGGTACCTGGATAATTTTTCTTTTGAGTGTTATAACTGTTATAACTGACTTAAATCTAGACAACATAGTTACTATAGAAAGTGTAGGATTAAAATGCAAACAAAAAGGTGAAGTTCAATTTCCTTTAAATGAGGTAGGATTAAATATTTCAAGAATTGTGCAATATAATACACACACACACACACACACACACACACACACACACACACACACATATCCATGAATAATCTAATCCAATAGCCAAAGACATTTTTTTTCTGTAAAATCCAACAATGAACTTTCAACAACATACAGTAATGAAAGTTTCATTTAAGAGTTTGATATGTTTTGGTGAAAGTTTATATCCTTCCAACTGAATAGATTTTTATGACATGACCTGTGAGAGAAACCTATCTTCTGGAAAGAAAGGGAACTACTTGGACCTTGTACTTTCTGACATCAGAAAGAAATTATAAGTAGACAAGAGATATCAAGTACCCTAGGAGTGTCAGGCTCCACTGTCTTCAATGGTCCCTAATTGAACATGAACTGTCATCCAGTTAAAAGTCCTAAAGATACATAACTACTGTCTTAATATTGAAAGAAAACTATAGATTGCAACACGGATTCCTCAGAAAACTTTAAATTCTTCTAACTGTGGAAGAACCAGAAGAAATGAATCTTTATATAGAAAAAGAAAGGATGTTTAAATAGACTAGCAATATTTTCTGAAAATAAACTATTGCCATGTAACTTAAAGATACAGATAGAGACTTAAAGATACAGATAGAGAACACAGCTGCTATACATTCAAAAGTACCTAGTTTATCTAGCTATGAGTTGAATAATTGATAAAGCATCAACATTAACCGGGTAAAGCAGTACCAAAATAAAAAGGAATGAATTGACTATCTAATTTTTATTTTGGTTCTTACAGTATATTTGAACAGGCTGAAGAATTTTATCTGCAATGGTCAGAACACCACAATTAAATTTCAATGAGCAACTCACATTACTGAATCTCCCTGTATAAAAATATGGAAATATAAAATTACATTTGCTATAAAATAGAGCATAATTTACTTACTAGTATTTTAGGAAACAATCATGTTCAATGAGTTGTCAACAAACATATCTACTAAGTTTCCTATTAGAGTTATAGTTCTTATTTTCAAAATGAAAAATATAGTTGTGCAATGCATAGAGTCACATACTACAGCATTCAGTGAAATACAATTTAAATCACCATAATCCATGGCTGATATATTCATTTTGATACCATGTAGAAACTAAAAAATATAATAAAAGCAGTCATTTAAAAGAAATTCTCATTTTTCAAAATGTTATTTGTCCAAATGACTGCTTACTATAATTATCATTTCTATATCTCAAAACTCTTCTAAGCACAGAGGTCTTCCTAAACCCTAATCAAAATTACCACAGACAAGTTTACAACTTTCTAGAGAGAAGATTATCAGTACTTAAATTAAACTATATTATAAAAGAAAAATGAGTATATTAGTAACAGAATAAACAAGAGGAGGTTAACACTATTCTTGTGAAGTTTTCTTTTATGAAGGGAAGGTACCTGAAAGACAGAAATTGTGTGCTTATAAATTAGCACTAGCACGGACAAAAAAAAACTTAAGGAGCCCATGATACAATGACATTTTCTGCTGATAAATTGCTTGCCTGATTTGTTTTGGGATTTGCTGAACAGCACAATAGTTATATCAAGGAAAGCAAGAGATCATCTGTAGAAGTTGAGAAACACACTTTCCCAAACTCTTACCTTCCACTAAGAAGGAAACCAATAACCACTGCCAGAAGAATGACTCCCACTGTCACAGACACAGCAATGATTGGAATCTGGCCTTGATCACTGGATGCTGCAACTGCTGATGGGAGACATTGAAAATGGAGGTATGATTAAAGGGATTCAATGTATTCAAATAACAGCTTCTTAGTGGTTGGAAATGTACTCATGGCTTAAGCAATTCACCCACTTGGCTAAAGCTTCTTCCACAAAAATCTCTTCTCAGATGTGTGTAATTGAAAAGGCATCTTTAGGCGGAGAAAATATTTACTCTCCAAATAGAAATTTGAAGTCGGCTCTAAGTCACCGATTATTTCCTTGTCATCATAAAATATGAATGTATATTGTTTGCATAGCATTTATCCAGGTGCCTAAGGTTTGAAAGATAAAATGGAACAATCTCATTGATTTCAAACAGCATAAGCAGGATAAGGATGTGTTCAGTGCATGTGCCTGGACATTTTTTAGAGTATGCTGGGTGTTTTCTAAAAAAGTAAAATCTGAACAATTCAGAAAAGATTTTTCCCATAGACATAAATTTTAAATTAATGTGACTAGGTACTCATTGAAGTTATAGATAATACTTCTCCTGTATAACTAAAAGCCTTAACAATGAATAGGTTATAATCGGTAAGTATGCTTCATAAGTAGGATCACTGTTTGAAAACGTCAAAGCATAAATTTCAAACATTGAGAAACCTGTGTAAAAAGTGAGACTCAATTATAACCCTTTCATAAAACATGGTATGTATAGATAATGTATTTTCTACTTTAAAAATACAAGGCTATTTTATAGAAATATGGATGTGGTTATGTAAATAAGCAAATTAATTTTTCTTTTGTGTTGCTAAAAGTTAAAATGCGCCACAAGAAATGTATTCATTTCTTTACTGGTGTAACTGTAACCCCTCTGTTCAGCATCTTTACAATAACATAAAATTTTTTAAAAAGTTGTCAGGATTGACTCAGTAAAACAGTATAGTTCCTGATGAAAGGCCTAATTGTTTTGATGATTTCAGAGTATCACTGTCTCTCCTGTACCTTAGAAAATTTTAAATCATTAAAACTAAGTGTTGATGTTTGATACGTTTCTATCTTTACCACTATTTACTAGATTTATCGGCCAACTTTTAGATTTCACATTTTCTCTTAATTCTTGTTGCCTCACCTTTGACCCTCTCTATCCAAAATAGACTAGATTCCTTTTAATCACTTTCTTGCCTGATCTACATGCATATCAATCATTACTGACCACCTCTTGAGACTCAAATATTATCAACAACTTGTTAGAATAAAACTATTATTTACAATAGGTCTGGGTTCTGTTCTTACTTTCTGTTTTAGGGAAATGGGTTGAAAAAAATTGCAATTCCAAGGTTTCAGGCTTTGAAATTCACTGACAATGAGGTCTCAGAGAAGGGATGTGTTGTGCATTACAAATGAAATAAGAAAATCTATTCAGTATTTGGTTCCATAGTATCCAAATGCAACTACTGCTTGAATGTCTTTGATTATTTCATTAATTTTCAAACTAATTCCACCCCATAATAAATTTTTCTTACTTTTCCAGTGTATCAATTTAATACCCCTACCTATATTTTCTAAATGCCTTCCTTAATAAGTAAGAAAGTGGTTAAGGAGGATTCTGTGATTAACTATACCAACATAGCCTTGTTTTGCTTTCTGTTAACTCCATTGTTACATCTTTTTCCTCCCAGGTCTCACTTCTTCTAAGATCTTTCTCAAGAAGGAATTCGTTCCATTGTAGGCTACCTTGAAAGGATCTCTCCTTGGGGAAGAAATAATTTTTTGTTGTTTGTTTCTGATCCTGGAGCTTGAGCTTTAAGCCCTGAAAACACTATACCACCTGAGCCACCTGGTATTTTAAAATTATTTTTCAGATTGTTTCTAGTTTTGTTTTGTTTTGTTTTTTTATGGTTTGGGACAAGAATCCTCTTACCTAGTATCTCCTAAACAACTGAGAAAATTGGCCAATATTACACAACCAGTTGGTTGATTGAGATTTGGTGGTCTCACTAACTTTTTGCCCAGGATGGCCTCAAATTTTCATCTTTTGGGTATATGCTTCTGGTGTAGCTTGGATTATAGGTGTGAGACACAATTCCCAACAATGAATACATTTTTATATCTAAATATAATAATAATCTTCAATCCAAATTTGGAGAAGGGTCCAATATTTATTTGCTAGAATATAGCTAAGAAAATTTTCCATTTCCTTAAAACAAATTTCCCTGGTTATTATATCCACATTAGAAATAGCAACTATAAAATATTTAACATATGTTTCAACTACTAACAGCTGTGAATAATTAGCAGATATAGTCTTCCAACTGTATCTCTTGTTTTGTTTAGACTGTTTGCCTGGAGAAAGAAGGGACTGCAAATGTGAATAACTTGAGTCACTATAACTAAGGAGATTTATTTTAATATATAGACAATACTGAAATAAAAATTAAATAATACACAAAATAATGATTCTACAATGATTTTTGAAACAAGAATTTCATCATTCAGAATTAAAGAAACTATGTTCGAAGTTTTGGAAGGGTATTTTTCTTTGATATTTATATTGATTTGTCCAGAGCCTAGCAAAGTCTTAGGCAAGAACAACAACAAAAAGATGCTTATATATTTTTGTTGAATTATATCCAGAAAAGATTCTATTGATTTTTATATTTTCTAAGACACTGAAAAGGTAATCATTTGAGACTCTCATGTTAGTGGTTTAAATAGAGTTCATACATGGAATGTTCCTTTACATGGAAAAAAATATTTCATTTCTTTTTACAATGACCACTTATCTGTATGAAATCCAGTGGGGTAACACTTGAGAAGTGATTAAAAATACTTACAGGCAATTGAATTAATTAAACAAATCTTGATTTTCTGAATTTCTATATAAGTTTATAAAACATATTTATTGATAATTAACAAGGTAATTTAGAGACTAAACTCACACTTTTGTTGTTTTCCCAACAAAGAAATATGCATTTCATCTTATGGTTTTTGTAAAGCAATGGTTTTTAATTTTTTTTTCTGCTACCAAGTTTTGAGCTCAGGGCCTCGTACTCTCATTTAGCTTTCTTGCTTGTGGATGACACTCTACCACTTGAACCATGCATCTTTTTGTTACGTTTTTGGATATGTGGAGAAGGTGTCTCAGACACACTCCCCAATAGACTTCAAACTGATTCTCCAGGTCTCATTCTTCCTGCAGCAAGAGTTAGAGGCATAAGCCTCCTAGGGTCTCATTCGTATGTCAGCTTGCTTTCAAGGCATACCTATTCATATCTATTTCACTTTTCAGAAGGTCATTATGGTCTTCTAAACTTTCCATTAAAGTATTAATTAACTATAGGACAGGTTTTATAATTATGTCATTGAAGTTAGAGAAAGTAGTGAAAACTTAGGAAATGTCTACTTCACCTTTTGGAAAGTAGTTACTGTCTTTTAATCTTTCAATGTATTAATTAAATATAGGACAATTAGTTATCTAATTATTTCATTGAAGTTAGAGAAAGAAGTTTAATACAATTTTATAGGCAAATGAAGATACCAAAATGGTGTTTCAGAAAGATTTCTAGATTTTCCATTTCGTGTTACTGCCAGAGATTTAAATATTTTTCTATTCAAGAAATGAGATTAGTTCTGAGAGCACTATTTTCTTCCTCAATTCAGTGCTAAAGAAAATTCCCTGTGGAATTTTCCTAGAAAGACTAAAACAGCATAGTTCAATGAAACAGGTAAAAAAAAAAAAAGAAAAAGAAAAGTGAATGGCAATAATTCAATAAAGTAGGGGAGCAGGGGAAACAAAGTCTTTAAAAGCAAGATTTAAACATTTCTTAATGATCTCCTGGGGTAGCATCTCCCAGCAGACTAGATGCAAGGAAGAACTGGACAGAAATGTTAACCCACCGGTGGACCTTAATAGCATGACAGATTTTCCTACCTGAAGGGGTCATGCCTGGTAGAGAGGGAAGGCGAGTAAAACTGACAGAGTGCCCAGAGAGGGTATTGATCCACTGACTCTTTCCTGGTAACAATTACAGAGACACCAGTTGACAGTAATTAAAATGACTTACACACTGGGATGGTTTCAAACTCAAATCGTCGACTGAAGACACCATAGCCTGCTGCTGTACGTGCTCGAATTTGGAAGACATACACTGAACCTGGTTTCAAGCCCTCGGCCGTAATAGTTGTCTCTTTGGATTTGATAATTGTGTAGCTCGTTTCTTGGTCCTTGGATTGCACATGTAATACAATTATATATAAGAAAAGGAAAGCAGTCAGCATATGAATTACTAATGACAGCAAAAACTTAGATCACAAATTGAACTAGAAACCAATGCATGCTATTATTATAAACACGCTTGAAAAGAATCCTATTAACTCTGTATGTGATAATATGTTTATATCTCAAGGTTCAGTGCAACAAGTTTTCTGTACATTAATCACTTTTTCCTTTGGCAAAAATAAATTTGTGAAACTTTTATAATAAGAGATTTATTATTTTATAGACTTATTTTATTTCATTTTTATTATGTTGTACAATGGGGCTTCAAATCAATGTATCAATTTCTGAGCTGTTGTATTTTTGTGCTCGTTTTCTCAGAAATAGTCTATTGGAAAATGTCTAGGATACTGTATTTATAGAGAATGTCAACAATATCTCACATACAGCCAGATTTTCTTCATCTGTAAATCTTTAGTGAATTATGTTCTTAATTATATTGATAACTTGGGAGACAAAATTAGTACTTCATTGGAAAATTCTAATTTCTTTTTACCACATCTAGATAGGAAGCAATAAAGAAAAATGGTAAATGAATGGTATACATTTTTCTTGAAAAAATGCTGTGTTAAGGCATGGTCTAAGAAAGTAGTAACTAAAGTAGGAAAAAAATACTGGAAAAGAAGTATGAAAACTGAAAAGAAGATCTTTTTCTATTTGGACTGCTATCAGAAGACTGTACAAGTGATATTGTCCTACTTATTTCCTACAGCCAAAGCACAGACGTCAGTGTGTGCCCTGAAATCACAGAACAAATTAGAACAGGCTTTTTTTTTTTAAGTTTTTTATTCTGTATTTGGGATCGGCCTCAATTAGGCGGCTGTTCTACAAGTGGAGTCATTCTCCACTCATATTTCTCCTTGTGTTTTTAATATTTTTGAAATTAAAATATCTCTAAGTTTACCTGGGCTATTTTCAAAATTGATTCTCCATCTACGTCCTGAGTACTTGAGAATACAGGCCCTTACCACCATGGCCAGCAACTTTTTACTTGTATGTTCAGTTTCTTTATCAGTAAGGCACATCACAGAAATAAAGGAAGAATGAAACAGGCAATACGAGAATAAAAATATTTAACCAGCTAAAATGTTTTAATTTTCATAATTATATTCTAATTTTTCTCAACCTTTCCTATTTTAGCATGTCACAGATGACTTTAAAGGATTTTCTACACTACCACAAAAACTAGACAAAATGTATAGCCTGCAAACGTGCTTCTTTCCAAGATGATTACATTCCTCCTTCACTGTGTTTAAACATAACAAATTATCATAGAGTTTCTCTCAATTTGGGATGTTCTAATTGTCAATTGAAATAAGTTTTCTGATTCATTGTAGAGGCATATTTGATTTCTAGTTTCTCACACCCAGATTAAAGGCCAAATCTGTCAAAGTTTAGGAAAATTTATTAGAGTTTTTACAAGGAATTTAAAGTAGGTAATCACAATGTAAAAAATTACATGTTTAATTCCTTTTTTTTCTTCAAAAACATTTACTGATCTTCTCCTATGTACTCTGACATATTTCAAAGAAATACAACACCATGAAAAAGCAGTTAATCCTATGATATGTACCACATAAATATTATAAATAGATTTTAGGATTTATTTTAGTGACTGACTGCTCTGAAAATTCTTGGGGTTATGCCTAAGTAAACCTAATCATACTATTTTATTTATTTATTTATTTATTTTGTTGGTCGTGGGGCTTGAACTCTGGGCCTGGGCACTGTCCCTCAGCTCTTCAGCTCAAGGCGAGCGCTCTACCACTACAGCGCCACTTCCGGTTTTCTGGTGGTTTATTGGAGATAGGAGTCTCATGGTCTCTCCTGCCCAGGCTGGCTTTGAACCGCGATCCTCAGATCTCAGCCTCCTGAGTAGCTAGGGTTACAGGCGTGAGCCACCAGCGCCCGGCTAATCATACTATTTTCTATTTTTCAACATTACTGATAATAAATAACATTACATTTTCAAACTGCATTTTCCAGTTTGGCTATGATTGTAGCAATAACTTTTCAGTAGAAACTAATCAGATATCTGTATGATATTATTTGCATATGTTTACAGAACATGTAACATATTGAACAAATTTAGTCAAAATTTATATTTATATAAATACTAATATCTCTAATAAAAATGATAATTTTCAAGCAATACCAAGTGTCTTTCACTAAGCTTATGTGGTCATGTGTATACCTAACTCCACACCTCAGTTTTTCCTTCTTTAAAATGAAGATGGAACACTTTTATTAATGTAAGTTGGAGGAGACACAATAAAGGAGACATAATAAAGATAATTGCATAGCACCAAATACAATCTTCTTCCACATAACAAATTCTAGGTAAACTTGATTTTTCTTAAGCCATAACACAATGGAGAAAAGGAAACATTTTTTAAAAGTTCACGTGGTTGAAATCCTTACTATTAGAAATGACTAATTTTGCTAAAATCACAGGAAAGGAAATGCCCATGAAAAACAGAATGCTGCTCTTTGAATTAATTTGTGAACTAATACTCACAGTACAAAAAGAAAATAGAACATTGTGTCTGATGTAATGATTAACATTACATCTCACTTTCCCCTTCTCTACAGTTGAATTGCACATTGTCATGCTGAATCCTACAGTATTAAACGGAATGTAGTGAACCATGTATCTAAGCGATACAATACAGTGAATATGCATTTTGAAAAAAAATCTAAATATCTTCCAAAATTTATTTCTATCACACTCTATAAATCACTCTCATATTGTCATTTTCTTCATAACACCAGCCCTCTGTGCACCTCTTCAACACCCACAACCACCTGGCTGCCAAATCCTTAGTTATGGCAGTGGCTTTTGCTGCCTTCCTGCCCCAGCTAAGCAAATGAGCTACATTCCCCAGCTGCTTAGCTAACACTGCCCACATGGAGTGAGGGGAGGGCCTTAGCCAAAGCAGCCAGCTGGCAAACAGCCTGCCAAGGGGCAGCTTCCCTTTTCCTCTCCCTTTAATTAAGAGATGGCAATAGGCCAATCACCACGCCAGAGCACAGAAGCCCAATGACCTCTATTAGAGCAGGGCAATCACAGGCAGAAATGCCAGCTGGCAAGTGCTTGTGCCCTGGAAAGCTTTGCCACCTGTGTCTGGCCAAAAGCCATCCAATAAAATAGCGGTGTCACTCTGAAGGCTCTAAACGGGCTCTGGAAACCTACCAAGACCCCCACCTCCATGCATAGTATAAAGGCCCATTATCCCCCTTTATTTTTCCTAGAAGTGTTAATTTTTTTTTTTACATGAATTACACCGGGACGCTCTAGTAAGCGTATTTTTGGCCTGACAAAAAGTTCCAGGAATTAATACCCTCATTGTAAAAAGGAAAACATACTGACCAAAAGAAGTTCATAACTTTCTGCCTGAGTAATATATGTTGTAAAATCTTTGCTGCTTTTAACGAATGCTAAGTAGGAAACTTCTCGTTAATGTGTTTAGGAAATGTAATAGCAATCCTTTTCACATATCAAACCAGTTTGCTTACTTGAGTGATGAAGATAACAGAATTATAGAAGAGTCTCAAGCTCAAACTACTAAATGTCATACCAAATCCTGTCGAAATAAACACAATCCAAATAGAAATTATTTGTTTATCATTTACATTCACATAAATTAAGCAAAGGAGTTTCAATGTGTTATTTATGTATATCTATATGATGTGCTTTTCATCAAATTTACCCCAATCTATATTAGATTGATTTGTAAGAAAAAACTACAACATAAATAAAATTAACTACAACTATTAACATCAGAGTATTTCTGCCCAGCATGTTGAGTAACTCTGTGCTAAAACACATGGTTAAAGAAAAAAGAAATCTATTTCCTCTGCATATTGTTTGTATGAATAAAGTTACTTCCTCACCAACAACACTTGCTCTAGTAGTTGAGTTGTCAGAAGGAAAACAATTAAGGCAAATAGCAATTGTCAAACTTTTAGTCCTCATGTTTAGCTATATTTCTCTTAGATCTATAAATATATTAAATATACAGCCATTAGTTAGCCATTAGTTGTTTATATTCCCACAACACATTTCAATTTCTTTAATATCAGTTTTAATCACAAAGAAAATTTGAAAACCTAGGATGTTTACAGAATTTAACAGGTTTCTGTGTGTATGCATGCACACATATATTTTACACACATTTACCTTAGTGTACATTATTAAGGATTAGAAAACCTTAACTGAGGAATGTAAACCTTATCTTGAAAAAATGTTTTTTAATTTAATTTAATTTTTAATACATTTTATTGTAAAAATACTGTACAGAGGAGTTTCAATTACATGAGCAAGGTAATGAGTACATTTCCTATCAAGCATTGTTACCTACTCCTTTGTTTTTTCTCTACCCTCCTTTCCCTCCCACCTCCACAACTACACTGTGCCTTCTCTCCACCCCCTTCCCCACCTAAACTGTAAAGTTCATTTTTCAACATAGTGTCTTGTACATCTCAATGTTACAGTGGGTCAAACTGTATTGCTATTTAAGCATTTTCTTTTTTTCCTTCTCCTCCCCAAGCTAGAGAAGTGTATATACAAGATGTAGGGCATTGACATCAAATACAGTAAAAACAGGGGTTATACCATGGGGGAGGAACATACAAAGAAACAAAAAAAAATTCACATGGTACATTATAAATTCGTTAGGAACAACAACAAGAAAGAAAAATCCACTTGTGTCCCTATCGTACGGTTCATTTTGTTTAACATCATCTTATCTGGTCATATGTACATAGCTTTTGACCTTTTCTGCTTGTCCCAGACACATACTAGTTATTGCAAATAAGGCAAACCATAGGACCTATGTTTCTATGGGCCTGGCTTACTTCACTTAATATAATTTTTTCCAAGACCATACTAAAGCTCCCAGCACAATTATATTTATTGCAGCATTATTTACCATAACTAAGATATGGAACCAACCCAGATGCCTCTCAGTAGATGAATGGATCAAGAAAATGTGGTATATATACATGATGGAATTCTATGCCTCCATCAGAAAGAATGACATCGCCCCATTCGTTAGGAAATGGAAAAAGTGTTCTTGAATTCAGCGTATGTTTAGATTTGAGATTTCTGGTATTCGTATATACTGATACTTAGGAATCTCAGAGAAATAAGAATTAATAAGTGATTAACACTGCTATATTCCACTGTACTAATTCCAATTTTATCAATATTATACTCTGCAAGCTATACTTCAACTTGTTTGAGACACAGATTTTGTTTCTTAGAACAGTACAGTACAATTGCAGTACAAGAAGATGGGAATGAGGGAAAGGCTCAGTGGCTCTGTATTTCTGCCACAATTCAGCTTTGCAAGTTCTAAGCTCACCTTGTGTTTCCACCTGGATGATCTCACTGTCTATAGCTGATAAGAACGTAGATTCAGGAAAGAAGCAATGGATGATTACCATCCTTAGATCTCAACAATTACTATGATAAAACACATAAGAGTAAACCTAGGATGTAACTCACTCAGAGAAAATCACAAAAATTTAGGGAATGTAATAAACACATTCCAATATGATAGTGTTTGACTAAACCCTCGAGTACAAACTGTATTTTAAAATTGAAGCAAGCTTCAAACACTTTAGTAAAATTGAAGCTTCAAACACTACAGCATAAATTGTATCTTAAAATTATATGCCAGGGTTTGGGCGTGTGAGTGTTTGTGTGTGTGTGTGTGTGTGTGTGTGTGTGTGTGTGTATGTGTGTGTGTGTTAGAGAGAGAGAGAGACAGAGACAGAGTACATCTTATTTCCCTTTCCCTTAGCAGTGTAGGTATTTTGTGGAGATACACCCGTAATTGTGTTTTTCCTTGCAGTAGACTTTAGTTATTGCTGAACACCAAGAGTGTAACCATTTTTAGCACTTTCAAAATATCCTATGATTTCATCTTTTAATGCTGTGGAAACTAGTTAACCTACTGTTAGACTATGAGGTGGTATCTTGGAGCATAAACTACTTGACAGCAGTAGAACATGGATACAATGTTCCTAGTACTATCTAATCTCCATAATCATGACTGTAGAATCAATGGTCATTGATTTACACATAAAAGTGCACCGTAGTCTTCTCCAAATTGGATGATTGTTGTTGTTAAAAAGGATAGAAAAAGGAAAAGGACAGCTTTTATTCTGTTATTCTCACCTTTTCAAAATACTTTATTTCATATTCCAGGATGATTCCATTGGGACGATCTGGCTCTTGCCAAGACAAAGAGATGCTGTTTTTTGTAATCTTTCCTTTTTTCACATTGGTGACTGGAGAAGGAGCTGTAAAAAAAATACAAATAAAGATCAGCATGACAAACAGGGCCTTAAAATTACAACCTATTTCATATAGTATGTACATTGGCTGTTTTATTATATAGCATAATAAAAAAAAACCTTCAATGTTTAAATATTTATTTAGCAGGAAAAACATTTTATTTTGTCTATAGAAAGTTGTTAAAATTATAAAGCATTTTACAGATATAAGTTTGTTAACCATCTTCAGAATCTCAGTGCTTATGTAAATAATATACAATTGTTCACTATAATACTACCTTTTAGTCAGTGATGACCATGGTCCCATAAGATTATGTTGCCTGGTGATGAAAAAGTCATCTTAGTTTGGACCTGCTGTTTGTGCTCAACATCATTGCCAAACATTATTTTCTCAGAATATATTTTCATTAACAGTACAAGAAATATTAATATTATCCTGATATCACAAATTTTAAATCATATCTGCATAATTCGTAATACCTAGGATAATACAAATCCCATGCAAACAGGATTAGAGTTAGGTTTTTTGCATTGTCTGGTTATTTATTTTCTTTCTCTGTGTGTGTGTTTTCCTCCTGTTTTCTGTGTTGTGCTCTTTGGAAGTAAGTTACGATATGCATTTGTCATTTGAGAAATAGCAATTTCTGATATATTTTAAGGGTGAAATATCTGATTAACTGATTAAGAATTTCTCTGTATGTGACATTAATTTATTCTTCCTCAGATTCACAGTTTATTTCATCATTTATATTAGTATGGATATGGACACATGGATTTTTATTCGTTAGTGTACAAAGGAAATATTTCATTTATTTTATTATTCAGCTGTCTAAAACTTTTCATGTCTCCCTGTCAATATGAGTCTACCAGTTTTTTATATCACTTTCTTTCTGATACCAGATGACTACATACTCCTGGCCCCAGTATGTTTAACTCTACATTTTGCCAAAACCTTTTACAACTTTGTAGGGGAGGGGGGGGGGGGGTTATAGGGACAGGGAATGTAAGGGGAAACAAAGGAGGAGGCAACAATTCTTGATAAGAAATGTACTCATTACCTTGCTCTTGTAATTGTAACCTCTCTGTACGGTATTTTCACAATGAAAAAAATTAATTAAAAAAGGAAAAAAAAAGAAACCAAAAGAGTTAGACATTCCACTACTGAAGAACCAGATGTTATCTTAATATAAAATAATAGATCCTTTCTTCTATTGTGTTTTGAGATATGGTTTTAATATGTACACCAGGTTGACCTACAACTTGCTATCTTTCAACCTCTGTCTCCCAAGTGCTGGGAATGCCTGTTTTTCATTCTTTAAAATATTGAATATGGGAATATAGGTGTTGGTGGCTCACGCCTATAATCCCAGCTACTGAGGAGTCTGAGATCTGAGGATCATGGATGAAAGTCATCCCAGACAGTAATGTTTGTGAGAACTCTTAACTCCAAGAGAGTACTCAGAAAAAGCCAGAAGTGGAGCTGTGGCTCAAGTAGTACAACCCTAGCTGTGAGCAAAAAAGCTTAAGAATAATACCCCGGCCTTGATATTAAGCCCCAGGACCAGACCTCCCAAATACACAAAAATGTGGTAGAAAACACAAGCCCTAACTGTGTCAAATGGACTTAGTACCATAATTTTATTCCTGAAGCTAATGAAGGTTGACAAAAAAATGTTCTCATTACCTTACTTATATAACTGAAACCCTTCTGTATATCACCTGGACAATAAAAATGAAAAGCTGATATAAAAAGAAAAATAAATTATGTGAGAATCAAGTATGTGGTGTTATTTGTATTTACAAAACCATACCTATCCACTTATTTAATTTATATAGCCTCCTTTCGGTCTTAAATCTTTGAGAAAAATAACATCATTAACTTTTTTGTTCCGTGACCACTCATTGTGCTAAAAACTTCACCATATGCAACTTTAACTGTTTTTAAACTAATTGTTAATTTTATTTAATGAATTAGTAAGTTCTTTTAAACATATAAACTTAAACAATTCATACATTTTCTATTTAGTTACATAGACTAAATTTCTGCCAAATCATCTCTTATGTCTGCCAAATGGAAGCTATCACTTCTCACTGTCATGCACAACTTCTTACAATTGAGTATTCATTTATTTACTTTATTTTTTTTATATTTTTAGTGCATATAGGCCATTGTATAAGAACATAGGCTACTTTCTAGAAAATTCAGATCAGAATACGATCTGAATGATCGGAATACGAGTAAAGATGTCATATTTTTTAGTATTCTGAAGGTATGATTTTATCATTAAAATTCATGAAATACTAAAGGAAAGCCATGAAAATTTATATCCACCTAAAGCCTGAGATTAATGCTGGATTAATATAGATACTGAGTAAACTGTTGGTGTTTTCAACTTTAGCTCAATGTGTCTGCCAGTTCTCATGATGGATTTTGTTGTTGTTGTTTGTTTGTTTTTGCTATTTTCCCTTCATAAATATCTCTGAGTTATTCACATTTTTTAATTTATACCTAATTTGGCTTATTCTTACCATACCATGATCTTCATAAATTAGGAAACTTTTGTTTACCTTACTAAGCTCAACTTAGTTGTTATAAGAGTTTATAGCAGGGGCTGGGAAGGTGGCTCAGTGCTAGAGTGCTTGTCTTGCATGTATGAGGCCCTGGGTTTGATTCCTCAGCACCATATAAGCAGAAAAAGCCAGAAAGAGCATTGTGGCTCAAATAATACAGCACTAGCCTTATGCTGAATAGCGCAGGGACAACACCCAGGCCCAGAGTTCAGGCCCATGACTGATAATAAAATAAAATAAAAATAGTTTATAGCAGTTTCTTTTCTTGTTAATTTCTTTACTTTTGTTTTAGAGATGATATACAACTATACAGTGGAGTTAACTTTATATACGCCAGGTACTAAATACCTTTTCTTCCTTTTGCATAGTATCATCGGTTCCCTCGTTCTCTCCCATTCCTTCCCTCCCATCTTCGCCCATGAATTGCATGACTCACATTTGCCCATGTCCAGTGCAGCTAGAGAGCTCTGCTGCTTCACTTTTTCACCCATTTTCCACTGATTCTGTGCCCTCCCCGCTCCTTCCTCACATATGCTCATAAGTATACCATATATGAGGTACAGAATGCTAAGTCTTCAGAAAATGAAAAAAAAAGTTAAGAAAAAGATCCTTTGTTTCCATATATTTGGAATTTGTTTCAATATGTATACTATTTTATACACATTTGAAGGGGTTCTTGGGTATTACAACTTGGTGACTTTTGCCTACAATTATCCTCTTTTAGTTTCACTGTATGTGAGTGTATAATCCTGTATAATTTATCATGTCTCATTGTGTTTCAAATCTAACTTGTGCCTATCGGAGAGAACATATGTTGTTTGACTCTGATCTTGGTTTACCTCACTTAACTTGATTTGTTTTAGTTCCATCATTTCCCTGTCAATGACATCATTTTATCCTTTCTAATGATTGTGTAAAATTCCATCGTATACAGGTACCCTATTTTCGAATTTCGGGACCTGTTCATCTATTGTGGGCATCTGGGTTGTTTCCATATCCTGGTTATTGTAAATAGTGCAGCAATGAACATGGATGTACAGGTGTCCTTGTCATGTCCTGGTTCTTGATGCTCAGGGGAGATACTTAGGAGTGGTATGGCTGAGTCTTAGGAAAGGTCTATGTTTAGATTTTTGAAGAATATAGCAGTTTCTTAAAACATGGAAATGTTTAATTCTTGCCTGAAAATACCATATTCCAGTCAATGTATTTGTGTGTACTTAATAACCCCCAAGTGTTTACTCATACATTTATATATTAATTCTAGCTTCTACATGTGAGAAAACATTCATTCCTTTTCTCTTTTGACCTAATTTACTTCATTTTATATGATTTTCCTTTAAAATGCTGTAATTCCGTAGAGCGCTTCAGTTCAACAAAATGAAGACCAGAGTAGGGAGAGGAGGAATCAACGGGAAGTGATTTGATGAATGTAAAGAGGAAGGGGGGAGAGAATACAGTCATAAATGTGAATGCAAAGCTGGGCGCAGGCAGCTCACACCTGTAATCCTAGCCACTCAGGAGAATGAGATTTGAGGAACATGGATCAAAGCCACCCCGGGCAGGAAAGTCGGTGAGACTCATCTCCAATAAACCACTGGAAAACCGGAAGTGGTGCTGTGGCTCAAGCAGTAGAGTGCTCGCCTTCAGCTGAAGAGCTGAGGGATAGTTCCCAAGCCCAGAGTTCAAGTCGCATGACAAGTTAGGGCATATCCCACAAAATCAAGAACGCTGAGCAATGGGGAAGGATGATGTGGTAACATAGGTCAAGAAGCACTGTAATAAAAAACTGAAGTGTTGAATAGTAACTTCTTTACAAAGCTACTTAAAGATAAACGTGGAACTACTTCTCCTCTTGGTAGACTCCATTCTATTTCCTCAGATGAATTCTCTCCTCCAAACATTCCATGTCTTCAGTGATTTCTTTTAAAAAAATAATGTGAGATAATTCACATTATAATTTGGTCATGTCACCACTCTGCTCAAAATGTCTTATAGCTGAACATATATATTCCTTTTTTGTCTAAATCTCCAAACACATGCCTCTGCTGTTATTTGTTCCCTTTCAGCAAGACTTTTATTTCTGTACATATTATATATATGATATATATGCACAAAATATATGTATGTGTTAAATTTACAAATAAATACATTGCATGGTATGTAAATATGTTAAAATGTATTAGCTGAAATATGGTAGATTCAAGGGATAATTCAAAGAATTGTAATTTCTTAGAAAGACAAAGTCAAGTTCAACAAAATAAACATCAAGAAGTGAGTATTTGAAAATGGTTGGGTAGGGTCAAGGGAAAGGAGGAGATGGTTGAAGAGAAATGAAGGGGAAATGCAGTCAAAAACTCAATGTACATACCACAAAATAATGAAGAATGAAGGAAGGGATGGGTGAGGAATTTGAAAGGAATGACATTGATTAAGAT